AGGCTCCCAAAAGTGAAACGACCTGAGTTTGCACTATACTGCATAGCTTGGATTTATTTTTAATTGAGAACCCCAAGGCGAACGACAAAAGGCTCTCTTCAAGTGGTGTCGTTGCCGGGGAGCCAAGAAATTGGTTCTCTAAGTTAGCTTGTGCTAATTGGTTGTCAATTGAAGTTTTGATCTTTTTAGGTTGCATCTTAGGTAGTTTAGTTGCATATTTGTTCATAGTATAGGTTTTCATCTTGCATAGCATCAAAATTTTTGGAAATACAAACAAATATGCTGATTTTCTAGATTTTCAGCATTTCTCACGTTCATCAGTGGAGTCTAGTATCTGATAAGCATTCTGTGACACTTTGCCGCGGCCAACCTGTTCCTTCGTCGCGGCCAACTTTCTGAAAAACCGAAGGATTCCTCTCGGGATACCTTCACCGCGGCACACTCCTGCTTTCGCTGCGGCCAACTCCCTGCAATCAGCTATCTGGTCGCCTCTGTCACCTTTCACCACAGCCAACCTCTGCTTTCGCTGTGGCGAACTCTTCTGGAAAATTTTGAAACTTACACTTTTTGCTTCTTTTTCTATGCATACATACTCATACTCACCCATACACTTGCATTCATCACATTGTATGCTTTTAGTTAACTTTGTGTGCTGCAAGTCAATTTTGTTTGCCCTTTCTCTTATGACTTTTATCTTGCATGCCATGGAAAACAAAACTTGTACCCTTTAACCTTGAGATTTGAGACAAGACTCAGAGAGATAAGAAGAGAGAAAAGAGTTGAAGGGACAAGTGAGTTGGTGATTGAGCAAGAGAATATTTCTGTGGAATCTAGCCTATCTAGTAGTGAGAGTGAGCCTACTGATCAAGAGATAATGGCTGATTTACCACCTAACCACCCTAATCCTAACCCCAATGCCAACCAAGTGAGGAATGGAAAATAAGAGAGAGTGGGAGAAAATAATGGGAACCCTAGAAGAAGAACAATTAGGGAAGCCACCACATCTGATGTTAACTTTGACCCATTTACTACTCCATGTCCAAATTTTAAAGTTAACTTTGAAATTAAAGGTTTATTGATAAACTCACTCCCAAAATTTCATGGCTTGACAAGAGAAGATCCTTATCTACATTTACAATCCCTCTTTATGGTTTGTCAGAGTATGAAGCTAGTTAGAGCATTGTTGGATCAAGTGCTGTGGAAGGTTTTTCATTTGTCATTGGAAGGCAAAGCTCGCGAGTGGTATATGAGCCTTCCGAGGCATGTGGTTGATGCATACCACAGCTGGGGGAACTTAAGGAAGGCATTCTTGGAGAAATACTTTCCGGCTTCCTAAACTTCTTCCATGAGAAAGGAGATCTATTCGGCTAAACAAGATTATGACGAATCCCTTTATGATTATTGGAATAGATTCCAAGACCTGCTCTCAAGATGCCAACACCATCAAATACCAGATGAACAACTGGTGCAATATTTTTATGATGGATTGAAGAACCAAGAGAAGGGTATGCTAGACGCTGCATCAGGAGGATCTTTGATAGACTCTACTGCTGAGGAAGCCTGGGATTTAATCAAGAAGATGGCCCTGAATCATCAACAATTCAGTGTAAGAGATACTAGAGCGGTTCATGAATTGGGGACCTCCACGGTTCACAACAGGAGAATAGACACCTTAGAATCAAAGGTTGATTCCTTGGAAAGCAAGGTGACTTCTCAGTTATCCCTTATTATAGCTGAGTTGAAGAATATGAATGTGCATAGACCAGCAGCCACCACAAATATTACTGCCCCTAGTTACGAGACTTGTGGTTCGGTTATGCATATCTCTAGTGTCTGTCCAGGCCGATATGAGGAGGTATCTGTGGTTTTCCAAGGTCGTCCAAATCAGAAGTGGGACCCTTACTCCAATACTTATAACGAGGGATGGAAGGTAAACCCTCGATTAGGCTGGAGGAATGATGATAGTAGACCTCCAAACAGATTTTAGAAGAGTGGAGGAGCTAGTCCATCTTCAACCCAGTTCCAAAACCAATCTCAAGCCCTAACCGTCCTACCTAAGGATGATACCAACTAACTCCTACACAGTATGATGGCCTTAATGAAAGAAGAAAGGGCTGCTAACACTACTCAGTTCAACTCCTTAGCTTCACTAATTCAACAAGATTCATCCAAGAATGATGCTAGATTTAGTGCTTTGGAAAAGAGGATGGAACAGTGGGAAACTAAGTCTGAGAACATCAACTCGTATGTAACTCAATTGTCCAACAACATGAGTGAATAACAAGCAAGGAGCAGTGGCGCAATCCCCTCACTACTACAATGAAGACTTTTTACTTCTGTTTTGCATGACTTTTTACGTCTGTTTTGCAGGGGACATGAAAAGAAGGGACATAAAACGTACCCCTTTTTACTTCTGTTATGAACAGACGTGAATTCACGTCTGTTTCTTAAAAAACAGACATGAATTCACGTCTGTTTTTTGCAAACAGAAGTAAAAAATCGATTTTTTACTTCTGTTTCTCTGAACAGACGTGAATGTCCTCTGTGTTTTTAAAAAAAAGATTCAGTTCGTATATACTACTTTCCCTACAGCCACACAATAGCCATAATAGCCACTTTCCAGCAAGTTGAAATAGTATGAACCAGTCAATAGTTTCAGCCAAGATATATCAACATCATAACTTCATCTATATAGACACATTAATTAACTAACTAGTCAAAAAAGAAGAACAAATTACAAAAGTCAATATTGATCCTATTGTCTCTAAACATAAACTTGATCAATCCCTGGACCACAATTCTTGAAGCAGTTGCTGTGCCAAAAGGTCTCGGATGAAGTTAATGTCATCAATAGTATATGAACAATCATTATCAAAAATCTGTAAATTGACAAATGAACAAATTTAAACATAGGAAGAAAATAAAATAAGTAACAATTCAATTTAAAAATTCAACTATTACAAAACTAAAATTATATTTACTTACCTCATCAAATTTTGTAATACATCCGCTCTCAATAATCTCAAACATATAACGGATAATGTAGTATCCGCACTCTGTTGGCCCTTGTTGCTTAGCACACTGCAAATCACAAGGAAATGATAATCCAAATTCATATATAAAATAACTGTCATCAATGAAAGAACTTCAATTTAAAGTACTCACACTAGGATATACCCAAGTTGTTGAGCCATTTTTGCCGAAACGCTTCCCACCGGTTATATAATAAGTCTTTAAAGCCCTATAAGCAAATGAAAGCACAAGTTAAATAATTTATATTGAAAACAAAATTATTGATCTACATTAAGGTACTTACGTGTTGAAAACGCCCCTCATCTCACTGCTTGGACGACGACCCAAGGGATCAAACCAGTAGATGACATTGTCAATGGGACAAGAAACACACAAACTCCAATGACAACTGCATCATAGAGTAAGACTTATACATTACTGGATATCACAATAATTCTTAACAAATTAAGTATGTATAAATAAATATAATTAAGCTACTTGCCCTTCAATAATTGGTGCCAAATAACAAGGTAATTTAGTGTCTCCAATCGTATTGCCCACATATCTGATTCTCCTATCTAGTGGGTTGTACTTCTTCTGGACACTTGCAGGGCATAAATATCCATACAAATTTCTCTTCTCCATTGATGACATGCATTTGTTATGGAAGAAGCTATCATTGAATTGAAATAAGATAATTATTAGTATGTGAAAGTAAGAAATGAGAAATTTAAGTTAGAAATGAACAAGTAAACTTACATGATTGCTAATTGAACCCATGCTATGTCCAACTCCTTCAAGGATAAGAAATCCCTGATGTCTTTGTTGTCAAGTCCAAAGAAATATGATTTTTCTTCACCCACAATCCCTACAGGCATCTTTATGTCGACCTTGTTAATTGTTTTATATTCCTCATATAATTGTGCCAAGCAGGGATATCTATTAACATCTTCCTGGTCCTAATGAAATATCAAATAAACATAATAAGTATTAGAAGTATTATGTTAAAAAAATGCACACAATATAGAATAACATTTTCTTACCATCACAGGTATTATCTCCTCATCAACAAGGTATCTAGGCCAAAGAATGAAAGTTCCAATTGCCTGACCTAACTTCACAACTTCAGCAGTCGGGAATGGCACATCCGCACCTGTCTCTCCCTCTCGAACAGTGGTAACTGTAACCCTCACTTGGTCCTCTTGAATATGTTGGTGATGGATAGTGCTCCCTTGATTGTAGAGGAGAGCGTCAGCAACAACACGCATCCTTGGGACCTCTAAACGAAGACAACAAGGTTGTCCAAAGTCCGGCGTGGGACTACTAGGATCATGCTCTCCCAATGCCCCTGGTGGATTACAACTGTCTTTAGTGCTAGGAAAGACGGGGGAATCCTAAATGAGAGAAATGCAATTATTAAATTAAATAAAAAACGTTGGTAAAACTCAACATTAATTTAAGTGAAATTGATTACAAACCTGGGGTGTGCATTGTTGTTGAACTATCCCAATTTGCATGCTAGAGACCATAGATTTCATCTCATCACGAAGCTCAGCCATAAGCTCTTTTCGAAGTGACTGGCGTAACTGGGCCTCAATCTTGACCTCTAGCTCAGATTGGAGCTCATCACGAACTTGGTCTCGAAGTTTAGCTATCATCTCATCAGTGGGCTGACTTCGTAGAGAAGCTCGTGAAGTTTGTCCAAAATATTGGGTAAGACCAACTATCCTCCCTTCTCCTCTAACGCGTCCGGGGTGATCAGGCTTCCCAATCGCTGTCGCTAAAATGTCCATCCTTCCACTCGGACTAAATGAACCTTCACTGCTTTGCTCTTCAAGTACCTCCTATAACATTTTAAGTATGATAAAAAATTAATGACAGTATAAATGAAAATTAATGATAAAATATAAGGAATATTACCATAAGTTAAAGTTATTTGAATTATACAACTTACAATTTTTTTAGCAATCTCAGCAACTGCTGGATTAATATATTGACCCTTCTTCATCCTTGCTTCCTTCCATTTTCTATGACGTGGAGGAGGAGGTGGGGTCTGAACAACGATACTAGGATCAGATTTTGCAGCTTCCTGCATCGCCTTAAAGTCATTCTGCATGATCCTCTCCTCAAGCATCTTGTAACCTCCACGGGATAAATAGTGCGGATATAAATTTTTAGCTTGCCTTTCTTTATTCATCGCACTTAATTCCTGTGGAAAAGAAAACAAAGTAAATTGAGTAAGTGAAGTAAATTAAATCAAAATTAAATGTTTTATAAGGCAATGTACCTGAAATTTAGGATCATGCCGTGATGCCACAAACCTCCTCCAATCATCTGGATCAAGGAAGGAGTATTTTTCGCACGGATCATCATCTTTCTTAGGCCCTCGCACATACTGGCTCGTGAGTGTGTGCTTAAAATCTTTCCAGCGCTGACGAACTTGCTGCAACAAATGCTTTTTCATTTGCTCAGTACGAGGGATGTCATACGTTTGCTGCAAAGAAAAATATATATGTTTGAGTTAAAGATCTTAGTTATAACTATATTTACAATAAAACAAATGAAATAAAATTAGAAAGTGACATACCAAAATATATTCCCAAATCCTATCCTTCGTCTCCTTAGAAATTGACTTCCAATTAGGCCATAGAATATTAACTTTGCTTCGGGCAACGGAGCCTATATAGCTAATGAATCTGTCCTTCTCTTCACCAATTGGATTCATATTGGCATCAAAATCCACATGCTTCTTCTGAATACGACCATGACGTACTGCTAACTTTGGTAGCCTTGTACTACCTCTAACCTTCCTTCCTTCCTGCTGATTGACATCATCGATGTCATAATCCTCCTCCATATTGGCATCAAAATCCTCCTCCATGTGCCTGTTGAAAAACCAAAATTAGATAAATAAATAAATTATAGTGAAATGTATTAATATATAAATAATATCAAGTACATTGCAATGAAATAAATGAAAGAAAATAACACAAGGTACGTTGCAAAATTACATTACTTAATCTGACTTTATGCATTGTCCCATATCCCTTCACAATGATCATCTCTTGCAGCATATTCATCATTATCTACCAATTCTACTTCACTTGGTCTAGGCGGATTTGAAGCAAAAGGTGGTGTCTCATCAAGATTCATGGTAGGATCACTGTCCTTCTGCTTTTTACTTTGAAGGACAATAGACAATTTTTTATTTGCTGGATCAGTAACATAAAATACTTGTTTTGCCTGGCTTGCTAAAATGAAGGGCTCATCTGCATAACCAACCCTGCCAAGATCAACTAATGTAAATCCAAATTGTTGATCTATTTCAATACTATTGTTGTTGACCCATTTACATTTGAAGACAGGAATCTTGAAATTGGTGTAGTTTACCTCCCATATCTCTTCAATAACTCCATAATAAGCCATAGATGCCAATTTGGGGTTTTTATCTTTCGAACTCGAAAAATGCATCGCTTCAGCAACCACCATTACCCCACTATTCTGCACAGTACTTTTGTCATCTTGAGCTTTTGTGTAGAAGGAATATCCATTTATGTCGTATCCACTCCAAGTGATAACTTCAAAACAAGGACCCCAAGCTAACCATTTTATTGTATCAGATACATTGGCCTCTCTCAAAACTTTTTCACTGAACCATGTTATAAATGTTTTGTTATGCTCATTAGCTATCTGCATATCACTTTTCTTTGGATACTTTTCTTTTAAACTTTTTTTGTGATCATCTAAATACGACTGCACTTCTTCCATATTATTCAATATGTATAAGTGCGCTTGTAACACTTCTTCACGACCCATACTCTTTACCTTCAGCCCCCTGATTCCTTTACTTGTACCGTTTTCATGCCGAGATGGTGTCTTAGCGATAGATAGATATGTTTTGCAAAATTCCATAGCCTCTTCCGCTACATACCTTTCAACAATTGATGCTTCAGGTCGATAAGGATTTTTAGAATAATCCTTTAAGACTTTCATGTACCTCTCAAATGGATACATCCATCTTAGAAAAATAGGACCGCAAAGCCTTATCTCCCTCACTAAATGAATGATCAAATGCACCATGATATCAAAAAATACTGGGGGAAAGTGCATTTCTAGTTGAGACAAGATAACATAACCCTCATTTTCCAATTCATCCAATTTCTCTATGTCAATGACTTTGCTACAAATAGCATTGAAGAAGATACATAATCTAGTTATAGTGCTCCTCACATCATCTCTCATTGTGCCTCGAATAGCTACGGGTAATAGTTGTTGCATCAGTACATGATAATCATGAGACTTCATTCCCACTAACTTCAAATGTGCATTGAGACAAGCCTTTTCACATTAGAAGAATACCCCTGGGGCACCTTGATGTCATGCAAACACCGACACAAGCTTGTTTTTTTGACTTTAGACAATGTGTGGGCCGCAGGTTCCATATAAGCCTGCTTACCACCCTCTCTCAATTGTGGATGTAAGCGCTCTCGAATGCCCATTTCAGCCAGATCAAGTCTTGCATTAATTCTGTCTTTAGTTTTTCCAGGTATGTGCAAAAGAGTACCGATAAGACTATCACACACATTTTTTTCCACATGCATCACATCGATACTGTGTCTTACATCAAGACTGCGCCAATATGGAAGATCAAAGAAAATAGACCTCTTCTTCCATATGTTTTTCTCACTTGCAGCTTTTTGAGTCTTACCGAAAATGACATTGATTCTTTCAACTCGCTGGTAAACTTCCTCTCCAGTTAATGCCTTCGGAGCCATGCCATGCTCTGGTGAGCCATTAAAAACCTTTTTCAATCTCCGGTATGGGTGGAACCGATCAAGAAACCTCCTGTGACTGAGGTAAACTGTCTTCCTTCCGTGCTTAAGTTGGTGGAAGTATGTGTCTGCTTCACATATAGGACATGCTTTATGCCCCTTCACACTGTATCCTGATAGATTTCCATATGCAGGAAAGTCATTTATCGTTGTAAAGATCATGGCACGCAACTTAAAGGACTCCTGCTTGTATGCATCAAACACATCCACGCCTTCTTCCCACAACATCTTCAAATCTTCAATTAAAGGTGCCAAGGAGGTAGGTTGTAAATCACCAACAGTACTGGCCATGCACTATGTGTGCTATTAAGAGTACCGTAAGGGTTGATTCCATCTGTACAAAGCCCAAGGCGAAGATTTCTTGGTTCAAGACCAAATTCCGGAAACATTTCATCTATTTTCTGCCATTGAGGAGAATCAGCAGGGTGCCGAAGATATCTTCATCTGATATTCTCTCATCAAAATGCCATCTTAACTTCTTCGCTTCTGTTGCATTAGCAAATAAGCGCTTAAATCGTGGTATTATCGGAAGATACCATAACACCTTCAAAGGTTGCCCTTTACTTGTCTCATCACCATCATAGTTACCAGCACAGTCCATGTTCTTTTTCACCTTGTATCGTGAAGTTTTACATTTTGGGCACTCACGTAGACCAGCATACTCTTTTCTATATAATACACAGTCATTAGGACAAGCGTGTATCTTTTCATAGCCCATACCCATCCGAGACAAGATTTTCTTTGCCTCATACACACGATTTGGAAGAACGTTATCAATTGGAAGCATATCACTAATCAATTGAAGCAACTCTGTGAAACTTTTGTCAGTCCACCCATTATTTGCTTTTAAACTGAACAATTTCAATACAGCTGTCAATCGTGTATACTTAGAACACCCAGGGTACAAAGGCATCTCTGCATCACTCTTCAAGTTATCATTTGCATGTGATCGCACAAAGAACTCTACCCCTACATCACGAATCATATGCTCATTCTATCATTTACATCATCCATAACTTCCTCTTCTTCGAGTATTGAACTTGTTCCTACTTCACCATGCCATATCCATCTTGTATATCGAAGATTTATACCATCACAAAGCAGGTGATCTCTAATATCATTAACACTTAGTCGCCTCTCATTTAAACACTTGACACAGGGACAAAAATACATTCCGTTATTGCTAGGAGCATTCTGTTTAGCAAATTCAATAAATTGTTCTACTCCGTTCTCATATTCATCACCTGTTCTCAAAGCATTCATCCAACTATGATCCATTTCGTTACTACCTAAGGAATTATAAACAATTTAATTCCATTCAGCACAGTCCCAATAAACATTAACCAAATTCAAAACTAATTATATCAATTGAATCCGATTCATTCCAATTACAACATAAATCATGCCAATTCCAAGCAAATGATTTCAAACTTCAAATCTATTACCCAATCAATATAAACAAATTTTAACTTATCTAAATGCAATTTTTTCATTAATCATTTAATGTATACCCAATCCTTAATCTAAATTCAATACATATAGCAAACTATCTAATGCAATCCCTCTTAGGCATTTTGACAAACACCTTGTATGCATTATTTTTCTAACAAGATTAACAAGGTTTGAAATCTTTAAAATTTCCACCCAATCAATATATACAAATTTAAAACTATCTAAACACAATTCTTCAATAAAAATTTAAACAGCAACCTCAGAAACCAATTCAAAACTCCTCAAGCTACTCAAACCCACGCACAACACACTAAACCCACAATGCAACGGTTGAATAAACTTACCTTCACTGTTTGGGCGTGCCTTCAAATCAACGGACTATAGTGCGTGTCAGCTTCACGGCTTCAACGGCGAGATAGCTGCGAGCTGGAGGTTCTTCGCGGTATACGCAGATCTTCACGGCTTCAATAGCGAGCTGCTGCAACACGGCTATTACAGAACGCGTGAGGGAGGGCTACAACTTTGAAGAGCTGAAGACGAGAGACCGGAATACTGAGTTGCTCACGGCTACTTCACGGACAAGAGGAAAATGAGAGGGAGAGACCAAAAATGAAACTTGGGCGCGAGAAAGCTGCGAGCTGGAGGTTCTTCGCACGCGGTACATGCAGATCTGATAGTACTGATACGAGCATAGGATGCGGGCAAATTTTTTTAAAAAACGAAGCCCCTTCACGTCTGTTTCTCAATAAACAGACGTGAAGTAACGTCTGTTATGGAGAAACAGATGTGAATTCATGTCTGTTTTGAGTAAACGGACGTGAATTCACGTCTGTTCAGACAAACAGACGTGAATTCACATCTGGTTTTTGTAAACAGACGTGAGTTCATGTCTGTTTTGTTTAAAACAGACAAGAAGTCTCTTCTATTTTTGAAAACAGACATAAATGAGGGACGTAAATGACAAATTTTGTTGTAGTGCCTCCAACACTGTTATCAATCCTAAGGGCTTGAATGTCATTACCCTTAGGAGTGGGAAGCAAGTGAATTTTAGAGAAGAGGAGGATGAAGTTATAGATGAGGAAATCTTGTGTGATGAGCTGCCACAAGCAACTTCAAAAGGGAAGCATTTTGAAAGCTCCAAGGAGAAGAGGCTAAAGCTAAAAGAAGCCCCAACAGAACATGATGGCAAGGGCAAAGCTGTGGAATCTGAGCCAAGCAATCATGGAGCCTCAAGCAAGGAAGGTAAGGAGGTAAACATCAATGAACTACCCTTTCCTCATGCTTATTTGAAAAATGTGAAAATGGGTCCGAAAAGCAAGATCATGAGTTGCTTGAGACATTTAGGAAATTAGAAATGAATATACCCTTGCTTGACCTGATTAAAAAGATTCCTAAGTATGCAAAGGTCTTAAAAGAATTATGCACTCAAAAGAGGATATTTAAACCTAATGAAAGAGTCCAATTACACTCTAATGTGTCAGCTTTGTTTAAACCCCAAATTCCTGTAAAGTGTCAAGACCCTGGATCTTTCACTATCCCTATCACTATAGGAAAGGTTACTTTAGGGGGAGTCCTGTTAGATTTAGGTGCAGCCATT